AAGAAAAAGAAGAAGAAGAAGAGCTCTATAGCTGGAAAGATATTTGGTATTTCTGCATTTATATCAACTAGAACAACCTATACACTGCTGCTTCAAAAAGAATTTCAATGAATAAAGAAGCAAAATGCAGGAATAATTTATTTCCATTTTGAAATATTTTTAAAGTTACTGAAGGTAAAGATATTTAGTTCCTAGTTCAATATGTCATGACTGAGTTTYGTTGACCAAGAATATACAGTTAACAATTAAATTACTGATTTTTTTTTGTAACATAGAAGCCATTTAGCTGTGTCAAAAGAGGCCAGACTCTTATTTTAGTTCAAGCACAACAAACACTGAAAGTTTCTAGATGCATGCCCCATCACTCGTAAAACTGATACTTGAGAATTTTGGAAAAAAAAGAGTTGGTGGCAGAGACAACTGTACTTTCACTAAACAAAGTTTGACTACCAGTAGAAAGTACTTCCTGCTTACAAACTAATCAAGTCCACATATATATATAGAGCTTTAAAAAAAAATCCCCAACTCTACCTTTGAAAGGCAAGACACTTTGGAAGCATAGTCTCTGGTCTTTGGACCTATATATATACTGGATTCTATCAATTTTTTTCAAATTTTACCACTGTTAAAAAAAAATCAATACTGTTATGAATTTTGAAACACAGAAACATATGGATGACCTAGCTGAATTCTCCTGAAGATGGGTAAATTAGAACTTAGAGTTTTAAACAGTGTGCATTACCTTGGAGGTTCAATTTTCAATCTCTCAAAGATTTCGGGATAAAGCAATGGAAAAATGACCATCTCTTTTAAAGATGAAATGTGGTCAGAAAGACCACCCACGCCATCAAAATGTACCTAAAGATGAAGTCAACAGAACACATTTTATATGTTAGAGAAAGCTGCCGCCTTGATAAGGTTCCATGAGAAACTGAATTGCTTGAGAGAAAACCATAAACCAAGGGAGTTGTGGATGGCCCATTATTGGAAGCTTTCAYAAATACTGCAAACATGTCACTGCCACAATGAATCAAAAATACTTACTGAACCATCTATTGGCATTTGCTCCACACCAGCCAGAATTCCTCCAACTTTCACGGTATCCTTGTCAACTCGCGTTAAGGCACCTTTCTGAGAGCTGACCAGAAGAGATCCCATTTGAATTAAGGAGGAAAAAAAGGTGCTTTGTGGCTTCCAATGAAGATAGAAGATTTTTGATTTTCTAGTGATAGCAAGTGAATGGAGRAGACCTTACAAATCCACATGAACTTCCTAAACAGTTAAAGATTTATTCCACCCCTTTATATTTAATGGCTATGAGTAAATAAAGGAAAATGGTCACTCCAGACATTAAATTGAGTTAATTATTTTAACAACTCTTARCACTTACAARTATCCAAGCCAGTCAACACAGCACATATAGGAATGCAAGTTTAGAACAATTATTCCATATGTGGAGACCATGGGCTGGCATTGATTAATATGATGGAAAAATTCCTCCCCTTTCCAAACACACTGACATCTTTCAAATRGTTTTAGCTTTTACCTTCAAAAAGTTCCAGCAAAGAGAATGCTTATTTCAATGGGGATTAACATTATAAAGGCTGCCTACCCCTCCTGGACCTTCCTGAGCATTTTGGCATGTGTGTGCCAGAAGATATGCATCTGAAAGATGTCAGGCTGAAAACTAATTTGTTRAACTGCTATTCAATTAGTATTTCTAGAGCATCTGTTAAGTAACAAGTATTTCCCCTACTTATAGCATTTTCTCTTATGGTAACTTTCTCTCTGAAAAAAACAACGRTAAAGCACAGAAACAGTAAAATTTTACATCAAGAAAATAGTTCAAAATGTGTATCTCTRCCTTTCCCCCCTTTCCCACCTAGAAATCAAATTTCTTATTAAAAGTAAATTCTAAAAGTCCGGTTATAGAAATGCCATTTACATTTGTCAACAGGTATGATTAAATATTGCCACAATTTAGAAAGGGTATAAGGTGAAGATGGTAACACTTCACAGTTAGGCATATGAAAAGTTCCCCCAGGTAGACTCCCTCCCTTCCTCCCCTATTCTACAATTTCATTAACCTTCTATTTCTTTTCTTCCTCTGTATTTCAAGATACTCATCATCCTCAGAAGAGGAAGGGGCATCACTGCTGCGGATTCCACGTCTCCTACTGTAAAAATTCAAATGAACAAGTGAAAAATTAAAATGCACATTATGTAATAACAAAATTTAAGTGAAYGCTACCTCAGAGTTTACTTTGAAATTTAGTAAGTTTTCAGATTATTGTACTTTTTATAAATCTGATTTCAAAGTACATTATGTGATTTTCCTTGTGACGGCAATGTTTGATTTTTCTTMGGAAGGTAAAATGTTTCACTAGCGTGCAAAGAAATTTCTTAACTGACTCCTTTTTTTCCAGTCTCTCTCTCAGATGCATAAATTGAGTTTCACTTAGCATTATGCAGGCACTCTGTGAAACACTCACATTTTAAACTTATTTTAAATTTTRCTTCAAAACTCCTCCCTTCCATAACTGCCTGCTTTCAAGGATATTAAACAAAGTGCGCCTATCTAGAAAGGGATGTGACTCTTCACGCTCCAACTGCTTACATGATCCGAAAACCCTTTGTCATTACTTTTGCAATTCATAACTTAGATTTTCACTTAACATTTTTTCTTGTTAMATTAAATATTCTTTAAGGATAGTGTCATACAGAAACATGAACTGATTCCAAAGAGACATCAGAATCAGGGTTTGAATGATTAAAAAAAAATCCAATTAAACTTCTGTACAGGCTCTCCCTCTTACTAAATTGTCTTTGGTTTTAAGAAAATAAWTTTCATCTCTCAAGATTAAATAGCCTAAGGTTTTTAGAGGGAGATGCTGGCTTCAGTTCCAGAACAAATTAATTTCAGTTACACAGTCTCAGCCACAACCCTCATCATCACCTTATCAGTGACCATAAATACTGCATTTTCAAATAAAATCTGATGACTAGTAAAAAGGATTTCTTCCCCCTCGCAGTGTTTGTTTTCTTTATACTCTCAGATTACCACAGCAATAATAACACTATTCTTCTGTAGTTGCCACCAATCCAAAGCCCCTTGAAAGCACTGAGTCATGTGACAGCACTACTGAGAAAGAAGAACTATCGCTTAACTATATACAAACCTTTTACTCCTTTTGCGTGAATCTTTCCCTCTGGCAGATGAAGATGAGACTGAAGAATCTGTCTCATATTTTTTAGGTTCTGTTGAAAGACAGAATTTTGAATAATGTCACAAACAAGTTTAAGATAAAGCAGGAKAGTCAAAGAAGCAGAAAATAGGACGTGTATCAGCCATGTCTAAGTTCGGGGGAAGTTTCAAGGCAGGCGAGAGTTAATCAATGCAAAGTAGAAGTGAAAAAACRCACAGCTGATTTTTAAGGAGAACTTAAAAACACGTGAGCAAGACTGTAAGATTTTAAAGTCTCTAATTGCTATTCTTTCAAGGCTAGACAGGTMATTTTTATTTTTACTGAAAAACAATAAGGATTCCAGATAGAAAAAAAAAATAACCAGAATATGCATAGGATAGAGACATTTAAGAAAATTTACTTGCAGAATGAAGGTAAGAAATTTAAGGCTGAGTGTACATATTTCCATTAAAAAATTTTTGCTTCCATGCAAGAAATTAGGTCTTAAGGGAAACTGGGCCTATAACTTACTTTCCAATGTATCTTGATAGCAAAGCTTTTTTCCTTTTGCTTCACTTTGTTCTGATGTCATTACTGCACATAATATAAAATTCCTTAAGCACTTGCAAATAATTATATATTCAAATGCACTACATGACAGGTATTCTCACCGGTCCACAGCCTTTTATCATGCCCTTGTGTTGGAAAAACACTGGGTTTGGGGCCTTTTGTCTAAATACCTGTGAGCTCTTCACCAGTACAGCCCTAGAGTCTGTGGCTATGGCTTGTAATGTCAAGAGCAACACAGATTTTCTAGTAGATGAAAAATACCCAGTTGTTCAATCCATCTCAATTGCTTAAGAAAAAGCTTTTAGCTAGGGCATAATCAAAGATGTATAAAACAGAACTCGCCTACAATACTACCTGGATTGTCAGCTGTTTCTTCACCAGTYGTTTCCATATCTAGGCTTTCCTAATTAAAAGAAACAGGAAAGATCAGACACAAACATGAAGAAAATCCATGGCATATTGTGTCTTTATAGTATCATTTTCAAGGCACTCCAAAKACACAAAATACTAAATTAATGCACMGGAGGAGGGAATAGCAACACCACTCTGGAACTCAGGATTAATAACAAGGATTTCTACTCTAAAACAGGGTTTAGTAGATGTGCAAGTTAAACACTTGGCCAGATACAAAACTGAGTGTATCAATTAGTCACAGGTTAATTAACCAAGAGTGTGTTCAAGGCCAGGACAAAGCAATTCCTAGCAGAAAAAAAAAACCCAACCTACTGGCATTTGAGAGATGATTTACAAAGCACTATGGTCAATTCTGGTGGAAACAAACCACAAAAAGCAGGCTATGGATATGTTTAAAAAACAAAGCGCCTGGTATTCAAGAGGACAGTGGGCAAACTTGATTTCATAGAGCAAAACCAAGACAGAGGAAATATGATTGATTAGTGTCTATCATTTTAACATGAGTTCCTCTTAGGACAGGGGACTACTTGAGTTCACAAGCAAGGCTGSCACAGGAACAAACACAGATAAAGCAGATATCAGTGAATTCAGTTTTTAGTAAGATTTGAATGAAAATCCAAGCCATGAGACAGCTATTTGAAAAAAGCTGGGGTTTTTATTTTTTGTCCATTCAGAGATCACAAGGCAATTTCAGCAAGCATGGTATGTGTTTCAGCATATCACTGCTCTTTCTGAAGAAGATAATTCCTCCACCTTAGAACRTACCTCTGGCATGACTGTAACAGTAAGATTTTCAATTATAATTAGAGATCAAGAATAAAATATTCATTTAGACTACACTATGCTTTGGAAAAAGTTTTTTTCACTTAAATTAGAATTATAACTAAGTAATTTCTTTATGCAAAATGCTCTTCATAAAGCAAAATAGTAAATTAAATTAGGATCTACTTCTGTGCAGTGGAAGAGCCCATGGTCCACCATCCTTTGCTGTTTAGGCATCTTCTCCGTGTCATCCATTTATTTGGAAGACTGCTGTTGCAGTACTGAGATGCAAAGTTGACATGTAAGAGCAAAGATAGGCAAGTACAAACAAAACCCCACTGAAAATAACAGACATAGTCCGCATGACACTTTAATATAGTATGCACAAGCAAGAATCATTGATGCTTAGTCAAGTTTTTCAACACTACTTGGTAGGTAGACAAAATATTTACTTTTTTTGTAGAGAGATTTAAAAACAAGTGTTTGAGGATCTGCAGACATACTTTGTTTTCAGGTTGTTTTCCCCTCTTTAGCACAGAAAGAATCTCATTTAGTTGGAAAAAAAAAAGAGAATTCTGAAGATCACAGCAAGATGACAAAAAGAAATTATGGCAGTTTTTCATGGCATTTTAGTTGCTTTGCATGATAGGATTAAGTCATTTTTAATTCACAGCCATCCTGACAACAGGTCCAATTAATTCTTAATTGGAATTAAGGTCTCATGCTGACTTTCCATGACTATACATGCTAGAAAAAGAAATCTCCCTGCTATTATGCTTTAAGAACCTTTGAGAAAACAGTGTCAAGTTGGGCTTCACAAAGAGAATTAAGTCTTGGACACACAGGCACAAATACTAGGACTGCTTCACTTTGCCTCTATCCAACTTTCTGCCATTGCTTAACAGGCCATTATAAAATTACTTGTAAGCATGACAGAAAAGTTAATTAAACATGAAGGCACTCTGGTGCCAAGAAGATCARTTTAGAGGGAAAGTTAAATCTACTGAAAGTCACAACATGAAGTGATCAGTTCACAAGAACCAGCCCACACATAAAAGATGTTCTTACATGAAGATCTCTCTACAGCTGGCAATCCCGAAACAAGGACACTGGTGGCCAATTTAACCATTGGCTGTGCCCAAAATCTTTACACATGAAGCACCTGACAAACACATCCTCCCGTGCAGAGTCTTTGAACTGTAAATCTTAAAGCAAGCCACAAGCAGGAGATGCTACCTGACCAACTGCCATGCAACGTTTACGGAATGTTTGTGAGGTTGCCTGGCAGTGCCCTGCAAAGTTCCAAGCTTGATCATGCCCAACCCCCAAGTCCTTGGTGGGACTCTACTGTGCAGGGCACCTGATACCCAAAACCTGGCAATCACAGAATCATAGAACARTGTGGGTTRGAAGGGACCTTTAGAGACCATCTTGTTCAACACCCCTGCCATGGATAGGGACACYTTCCACTAGGCCRARCTGCTCCGAKCCCCATTCACCCGGGCCTTAACACTTCCASAGGTGGGGCRYCCACAGATTCTCTGGACAACCTCATCACCCCCACAATAAAAGACTTATCGTATACATAGTGGCACACAGGGAGGTCTCAGACTGCAAAACAAAATAAATGATTTGTAGCAGTGTAGAACTTTATCGGAGTCTACAGCTTCAACAGACCCCTAAATACCAATTTTCTTCATCCTTTAAGCAAACAGTATTACAGAAAATGTAATGGGAAGATGGTTTGATGGAATTATATAGGGGGTTGATCTTTGGATGCCAGGTGCCCACCAAGCCACTMTATCACTCCCAGGATGAYASGGGAGAGTAAACAAGATGGGAAACAACTAGKACCTTGAGATAAGGCAGTTTAATAGAGCAAAAAAAGAAAAGTTAGAGTTTGTGCTGCTCAGCAGTAGCGAAAACATCGATGTTATCAGTACCTTTCCAGCTTTGCACCAATGCAAAGCAGAGCACTGTGAGGGCTGCTGTGAGAAAACAAACTCCATCTCAGCCAGACCCAATACAGATKACTTTCCATTAACACAAATGAATTTCCATTAATTCTGCTATTCATTTTTAGTTATTTATTAATTCAGTTTCATATTAGCTGTTCCATTATTTTTCCCAAGGATTCTTTTTCTGTTTCTTCTGTACAGTG